CTCGCTAACAAGACTTGCCCCAACAGTTTGTTAATATCTACATGGGTCATCTTTGCCTGTGATCGCTAACACTTGCCCCAACAGTCTGTTAAAGACTACATGGGTCATCTTTGTCTGTGCTCGCTAACAGCACTTGCCCCGACAGTCTCTTAAAGACTACATGGGTCATCTTTGTCTGTGCTCGCTATCAACACTTGCCCCAACAGTCTGCTAAAGACTACATGGGTCATCGTTGTCTGTGCTCCCTAACAACACTTTGCCCCAACAGCTTGTTAATAACTACATGGGTCATCTTTGCCTGTGATCGCTAACACTTGCCCCCAACAGTTTGTTAAAGACTACATGGGTCATCTTTGTCTGTGCTCGCTAACAGAACTTGCCCCAACAGTTTGTTAAAGACTACATGGGTCATCTTGCCTCTGATCGCTAACACTTGCCCCAACAGTCTTTTAAAGACTACATGGGTTATCTTTGTCTGTGCTCGCTAAAAGCACTTGCCCCGACAGTCTCTTAAAGACTACATGGGTCATCTTTGTCTGTTCTCGCTAACAACACTTGCCCCGACAGTCTCTTGAAGACTACATGGGTCATCTTTGTCTGTGATCGCTAACACTTGCCCCAACAGTCTGATAAAGACTACATGGGTCATCTTTGTCTGTGCTCGCTAACAACACTTGCCCCGACAGTCTCTTAAAGACTACATGGGTTCAATCTTTGTCTGTGCTCGCTATCAACACTTGCCCCAACAGTTTGTTAATAACTACATGGGTCATCTTTGGCCTGTGATCGCTAACACATGCCGCAACAGTCTCTTAAAGACTACATGGGTCATCTTTGTCTGTGCTCGCTAATCAACACTTGCCCCTACAGTCTGTTAAAGACTACATGGGTCATCGTTGTCTGTGCTCCCTAACAACACTTGCCCAACAGCTTGTTAATAACTACATGGGTCATCTTTGCCTGTGATCGCTAACACTTGCCCCGACAGTCTCTAAAGACTACATGGGTCATCTTTGTCTGTGCTCGCTAACAAACACTTGCTGCAACAGTCCTGTTTAAAGACTATATGGGTCATCTTTGCCTGTGCTCGCTAATAGAACTTGCCCCAACCGTGTGGTAAAGATTACATGGGTATCTTTGCCTCTGATCGCTAACACTTGCCCCAACACTCTATTAAAGACTACATGGGTCATCTTTGTCTCTGCTCGCTAACAGCACTGCCCCGAAAGTCTGTTATAGACTACATGGGTCATCTTTGTCTGTGCTCGCTAACAGCACTTGCCCCAACAGTTTGTTAAAGACTATATGGGTCATTTTTGTCTGTGCTCGCTAACAACACATGCCCCAACAGTCTGTTAAAGACTTCATGGTCATCTTTGTCTGTGCTCGCTAACAACACTTGCCCCGAAAGTCTGTTATAGACTACATGGGTCATCTTTGTCTGTGCTCGCTAACAGCACTTGCCCCAACAGTTTTGTTAAAGACTACATGGGTCATTTTTGTCTGTGCTTGCTAACAGCACTAGCCCCGAGAGTCTCTTAAAGACTACATGGGTCATCTTCGTCTGTGCTCGCTAACAACACTTGCCCCAACAGTCTGTTTAAAGGACTATATGGGTCATCTTTGTCTGGCTCGCTAATAGAACTTGCCCAACAGTTTGTTAAAGACTACATGGGTCATCTTTGTCTGTGCTCGCTAACAGCACTGCCCCGAAAGTCTGTTATAGACTACATGGGTCATCTTTGTCTGTGATCGCTAACACTTGCCCCAACAGTTTGTTAAAGACTACATGGGTCATTTTTGTCTGTGCTCGCTAACAAACACATGCCCCAACAGTCTGTTAAAGACTTCATGGGTCATCTTTGTCCTGTGCTCGCTAACAACACTTGCCCCGAAAGTCTGTTATAGACTACATGGGTCATCTTTGTCTGTGCTCGCTAACAGCACTTGCCCCAACAGTTTGTTAAAGACTACATGGGTCATTTTTGTCTGTGCTTCGCTACAGCACTTGTCCTGACAGTCTGGTTAAAGACTACATGGGTCATCTTTGTCTGTGCTCGCTAACAACACTTTCCCCAACAGTGTAAAAGACTACATGGGTGCATCTTTGTCTGT